GGCCGAGCGACCGCCGAAGGAGGTGCCGCCGCCGGGGGCGAGCGAGGCTGGGCGCGGGGGCCACGGCTCCCTCACGGTTGGAGGCCGGCGGCGGCCGGGACCTTACCTGTGTCTCGGGTGGGTGGCGGCGAACGGACGGGCGCAGCAGTCTCTGGGCGGTGGCGGCGAGGCTGAGACTCTGTCCCTGGATCTCGCTGCTCACAGGCTACAGCCGCTCCGCAGACACGGGGTTTCCTCCAATCACCAGCCCCGGCAGCAGGGGCACCACACGCACGATGACGTCAAACGCTGCTATAGCAACCGTTGATTGGTGCCCACAGCTCTAGGGGCGCCGCGCAACCGCTGCTCCCCAGCGCGCGCACCTAGCCCGCCCGCGCCTGAAGGGAACGGAGGAGCGCGCGTCACCACTCGCTACCCACGCCCCTTGCCACCCGCCTGCCTCAGCCCTCAACCTGGATGCGCGCTTCCGACTGCGCCCAGGGAGGTTGGGTGCTCCTTTCCGCTTCTGTCCCTCCCCCTCGCCGTCCCTCGGGTCCCCACACCCTTTTCACTCCGGCCAGCGCTGCCGGCTCACGCTTCCTCGGAGCCCGCGGGGAGGAAGCCACCCCACCCCCACCTCCGCTCTCGCTCGACTTTTGCGCCTGCGCAAGCCGCTGCCTCCCGCGGGGGCTCCGCTCAGTCACATCCGGGACCTTGCACATCCCCCCTCCCCTTAGCCGGTGCCCCGCCCTCGGGCTCCGCAGGAGAAACAGCCCCCGGCTCCTGGGGGGCGGGTGGTCTGGCAGCGGGACCTCCCGGGCATTGTGAGGCTGCTGGGTGACTGCGTGGTGCCTCTCGTCTGCCCGCGGCTTCACCTGCAGGGCGGGCGGCGGGGCAGGGATTGGCCTTAGACCGTTTAATGCTCAGAAACCGGAGCGAGGTGTGAGGCTCGCGGGTGTCCGAGTGACGTCGTGGCTTCGCGTTCCCGAGCTCGGCCAGGCCGCATCTCCCGGGGGCATCGCGATCTCTAAAAGTCGCGGGAGGAGTAGTATCTCGAGGGCTCAGCCTCGTCCTGGGGGGTCACTCCAAGACCTCACAGTGCAGTGACTTAAGACATAGAGATGACCTTTGCCTCTCCTCCAGGCGCGGGGCGTCGTCGTCCCCACGCCGCATGTGGGCAGGGGGCGGAAATTGCAGGTGCGGAGCCGGTTGCGCCTCCGCCCAGCGCGGAAGGAAGTTCGGGGAGGCGCGATCGGCTGCCCCTTCCTGCTTTGAAGGCGGAGCTGAGACGCGCGCTGGACCTGCAGAGTCCGGGGCAGAGAAGTCGGGGAAAGCTCAGAGCTCGCATTATCCTTGTGTAAACACCTTGATGTTTCCGGCACATCTTCCCTGAGCACCCTTCGGGAAACCTGCCCCAAAATGCATCTGACGGCCTCAGGAATTAAGCCTCACGTTTTCTAGAGGGTTCAGTTTCTCAGCAGAAGTCACAAAATGAATCCTCACCCGTCCCGATCTGTGTTTTTTACGTATGATGGATACAATGTCTGGACTGCTAGACAAATACTACTTTTTTTTTTTTTTTTTTTTTTGTCTGAAATGACAACTGGCTACATAGTATAGACCTACAGTTACGGTGACAAATTCGAATCAGTGTTTACTCCCTAAAGATTTCATTACAGGCCAAAAGGATGAATAAAGTTTTAAACATTGGAGATGGATATTTGTTTGGAATACTTAAACCTCATGCCTTTTTGTCTCAGAGAAACTTAAGGGATTTCTGTGCATAAATAAATTACAGGTTTATTTTGGAAAACAAGTTTTTACCTCACATTTTAAGGATCAAGGTCTTTTTAGTGAAACAGTGCTGGGCTTCACAAACAACATTTTCACAGAAAGTGTAAAGAGGCTATAGGGAAGCAGCGGTGTCAGGAAAGCCTGCAGGTTTTGAAGACAATAGCCTCTGGCAAAAACAGAATAAGAAATAGAACCTATGGACTTTAACCTTAGGGAAATTATCGGAGACTTTCATTTAGTAAGCTGACCTGTTTCGTTGTCTTCATTGCTCAACTCCTAACCGAGTGAAGTTGTTTAACCTCTATCTCAGTATCTGCAGTAATAAAACACTTGTAATAAAACTGCGTAGCTCATTAGCTGCTGTTGAGGATTACATAGACACAAATGTATTTCTTAAAAACATTGCTTGTACAGTCATTTAGCTATTTGTACATACGGAACACATGTCATGGATGTCTTCACAGTTCACAAGGTAGAGAAAATAGAACTTTCGACAATGTCTTTTAACAGGGTGGGTGCTAGAGCGCTTCGTATTATTTTGTTAGCACTAATGAGACCTCAGTGGCCAGATCCACTCCTGTGCACTTGGCTGCAATGATCTGTTCAGAGCTGTGCTGCATGTTAAAAGTGGAAAAGAATTCAAAAGTAGCTAATTTCATCACTCCAATCAGAAAAAACACCTCAAAGGAAGCACTCTCTTGATGCGGTTGTGTGATTTTTAAAGTGTGATCCCAATGCAGAATATAATCTCACATCAGCATTTCAATTGGAGGATAATTCAGCAAAGCACAGAGAGCTTTGCAGGTAAAAATTTATCTCCAGAAGGATGTGACCTGAGGTTACAGAAGTGGATACCTAATTCCCAATTCCATCAGATCCTGTCACTAAGTGATAATGTAAAGAAAGGGATACTCGAGTGCTGTGGATCTCACTTATCAGCTGCTGGAGTGACCTGGAGCTGGTGGCAGAGGCAGGCTAGCCATTCACCAAACCTGTTTTTATCCCATCATCACTGTAGCTGGACACAGTTGCTTAAGTTCTTCTGTAGTCAGTGGCTCTGTGACTTGAGCTCTAGCTAGTGGGTTGTGACCAAAGTGATGCGCTGCCCGCGAGAGAGCCTGTGTCCCTGAAAGCCTGTAGGCCTGCTGGGATCACACTGGCATTTACTGAAGGGTAACTTCTATCTTTAGACCAAGAAATTGGAGGTTTATCTCTTATGTCAGATAGCGCTATAATGTTAATGTCATAAGCAAACCCAAATCATGATAAAGCTTTTTAAAACTAAAAATAAGAAATAAAAGAAGAAAAAAGTGAGAGAATAAGGTGCTCTTGTGATAAAACACAGGAGAAGTATTCTGACCTAGTGACTGTAGAACCTCAGCCAAGGAATTTCCTCATGTCATCATGACTGGCCTCCATAGCTTCCAAACATCATTACTGTTTACTTGATACCACCCTCATTCCTATTGTCTAAAACTTTTTTTTTTAAGTTTTAATTCTATATCTATTAACTCTATATCCCAGCTGTTAGCCATATGTTCTATGATATTCTGGTCAAATTGAGTTTTCCATACTGATTTTATACAACAAAAACTAAGCCAAGTTGATCACGAGATTGTATTTCATATACCCTGGAAGCATATAGCCAGTACTCACTGGCCAGAAGATATGATGGTGGTTGGGATAAAGACGCGTGTGTGCATCAGCTCTTTTCTTACTGGGAGAGAATACCTGACAGTGATTGAGGTCCCAGTAGCCCCTCCAAGGGCACATCAGCCATTTAGCATATAAGGCCTTGGAGAAACATTTTGGATCCAAATTATAAGGAAGAGAATTCATGGTTGTTCCTTGCAGGCACTCACAGTCTAGGAGCAGAGATAGATGCTCCATGAATTACAGTGCAGCACAGTGAAGAACAAGCTGATGAAGGTGAGTTTTAAAAATTATTTATTTATTTATTTATTTGGTACAGGGTCTGGCTATGCAGCTTGGACTCATGGTGATCCTCCTGTCTCAGCCTCCCCAGCACTGGGATTATAGGCGTGTGCCACCATGCCTGGTTTCATGGCCCACATTGTGTGACCCACGTTTCAGGGCCAGCACGGCATGCAGTACTGGGGATTGAACTCAGGTCCTTGCACTTGCCAGGCAGACACTTAGACCGCTGAGCTATCTCCCCAGCCCAAGGTGAATTTGTTTTGAGAAAGCTGAGCTGTGATTACAACTATTCATAGAAAGGTAAGGAAATTGCCTCCCTGAAAGAGCTGATATTCATCATACAAATTCCTAATTCGATTATCACTACAATTAGTCCTGCTTTCCTGCTTCCAGTAGCATTTTAAAATTTTTCAATTTTTGGTTTCCTGACCTTACCTTATGCGTCACTGTTTGGTTCATGGCCTGTGTCTTCACATCCTGTTAAGGATGAAAACAGATACATTCTAAAGTCTTCTAGATCATTTTGTTATATGTGGTGAAAGGGAAAACAATGAATGTTTAAATTAAAAAAAAGTATTACAGTAAAAGACACATTGCTGGGCCGGGGATATACCCCAGCAGCATAAGGGCCTGCCTGGCAAGCTCAAGGTCCCAAGTTTGATCCCTAATACCACAAAAAAAATTTTTTTAAAAACCACATTGCTATTACTCTCCCTCAAAATAGCCCCCCTTGTACTTAGCTCTTCATTCTTTCCATTTTTTGAAGCAATCTTGAAGTTGTCTTTCTCAAGTGTTTTTAGTTATGCTGTGTGTCTACCTTGATGTACTGTATCAATTGGAAACATTTAACTTTTTTGAGGGGAAGGAGGGGACAGGGTCTCCTTATGCAGCCCAGGCTGGCTTTGAACACACAGTGATTCTCCCAGCCCAGCCTCCAGAGCACCAGGATTATGGGTACACACCACCACGCCCGGCTACGTTTACCTTTCATGGTCATTTTGACTTTGGAAAAGAGCCAGAAGTTGCACAGTGCCAGATCTGATAAGTAAGGTGGACGAGGACACTCTGTAGTGCTTTTACAAGCCGGTTTTTCTGTTGGTTGGTGCTTGGCAGCAATATTCACCATGTTTTTGATCGCACCCTGTAAGGACACCCAGGAAAGTGGATTTTCAGAACTGCTTCAAACAGTGACAAGACTTACGGGATAAATGAGTTTGAAGTCAGTATTTTCAGGGGGATTAGTGGCAGTGTTTCTTTTACTGTCATTTTTAAAGTTTAAGCGTTCACCCTATATTTTGATCACACCTCCTATGTGCTTTTCCTTGATGTTGTCAAACATGTATCCTTTCTGTTTCCTTTTGCTGTAGAAATTCTGGTAGTTCCTATACTGTAATAGTGATTGTTTTCTATTATATGCCATTGAGGGAAGTTCCAGATGGTGACATTTCCTGTCTCTCTTTCCTCTTGAAAACTGATAAATCTAAACTTGTAGAAGGGTGAAAATACATATCCCCTTGTCCGAACTTCGGAATCCAGCAGCTGTTTACGTTTATCACCTCATGAGTGACTGCCGTGACAAGATCTTCCCTGACCCCCCCTGTCCAGTTGTCTGCAGAGAGCATAATTTATGCTGTCAAGAATCACAAGCTATCTGCGCTTCTTTAATCAGCTCTGATAAATGGAAAAACCACAAACCTGAACACTGTCAGCTATCAGT